TTTGGAAAATTGTATTTCTCCATGGTTATTTCATAGTTATAGTTGTTGTGTTCTCAACATCCGAATTTTTTGGAATCATCCAGACAACATATAGGTTTAACTAGATGAAACAAGAACAAGTGTCACTTTCTATTCCTAATATCATAATGTTGCTTCAAGAATTCAGCTCAAAGCTAAGCTACGTTCATTTCTTGTGCAAAACTAGCATGAGTCAAATGAATTAAAATTACATTTTACAGAATCAACAAGCAAGATTTCATGCCCACTCTTAAAAGCCCGTGTTTATTCTTTTGTTTTGATGTGGCTATAATGATTCAAAATGAATACACTGAGGTAAAAATTATACATATATGATTTTCTCTTTTTTGTATTGCACTAAAAGTTTTTATTGTTTATGTAGTTAATGGACATGGTGGACGAGTTATATCTGCCTATATTCACTAAGATAAACAAAATGTTCTCAGAAGAACTGGAAGTTATCAGAAATCATCATTCTTTTGAAACATTGAAGGTAACATTTGTGTCTTATTGGATGATCAACAAACATTTGACACTGATATTTTTGTGTGTTATTGAATTCATAAAATTGGCACTAAATTGCAGTTTATGCCAAAAACACCGAGGATAAGCTTTGAAGAGGGGATTCAAATGCTTAAGATATGACTGTACTGGACTTTATATTTCGCATCTAACCTGAGGAGTTGCTCGAATGAGTTTTCAATAACAGTTGGTAATCCTGATGCGTTGACAAGAAGTTGGTGAGAACGTTGATCTTTATGAAAAGTTAAACACAAAAACTGAGAGAAAACTTGGTCAGCTCATTCTGAAAAAGTAATCCACCACTTTTATATATTCTCGAAATTTATGGTGGATTACTTTAATTATAGCAAGTAGAAATCTGAAAGTATATTATTCATCATGTTCTTTCCTGAGTACAATAACAAAAAGACATATGAGACAAGAAATTAATAAAAAAACAACATAAACATATACATAAAATTGAATAAGAAATTTTACTTGTGAAGTTGGCGTCAAATTGGTCATTGTACTCATCCAACCAAGTATTTGCAGTTTCAATACACTTGTTTAAAATTTTTTCTTTTATTTATTCGTCACGAAAAATATTGTTCTTGAGAAAATTGACAATAACAAAACATGAAATTAAAATTACAACAACACATAAAGAAACATAAAATATGAAATGATAACAACAAAAAATGAAATGAAAATTACTCTGAGACCACATACTCTTCTTCGACAAAAGAATCGAAAGAGAGAAGCCCACTTGAATTTCTATGAAATTCCAGACGTGCCTTTTTGTTTGCGGAAGTACGGTTGTCGCTATGTAAGTTGTTAGCAATGATCACTTTAAAATGATGTTTCTTCATATCTTCCGTCGCAAAACAAAAATCGACGTCAGTTGTCGTTGCAAGTAAAACACCACTTTCTTAGTCTTGATGTGTATAATCATACACATACGACATCACGGCTATGATGATATCCTTGTCACTTGTGATTATTTTACCAATACTAAACTCTTCTGT